CAGACATGGCCGGATGTCTGGCCGGACTGAGGTTCACTCTCATTCATCGCGATAGAGTTCGGACAAGGGGTCCCCCCCCCCCAAATTTTTTACTTTGGATTTGGTGATAAATTTCGAGATGACCCTCAACCAAAAGTTGTTTGTTTCGCAACACTACGTAACGTATCTTTATTCCAGATGTTTTTTGTTTTTTTTAGGAATGTCAGAAATTTCCCAAATTGCTACATATTCTTAAACCACCAGTACTTGGCCCAGCTATGGGCCGCGGGCGTGTCCCATTAACGCGCTGCATTTGAGGGGGGTCGTTCACATGAACGGCCGGTCACTGAGAATTGCGACGTCGAAAAGAAAAAACCAAAAAAAAAAAAGAACTACTTTCTAAGTTGGGCGGGGGTCATGGTCACGTCTGTTCTTGGTGGAATGCTTCTAACTAGTATTCCAGGTAGGAATGCTTCTAAGTTTTTCTGCTTTTGTTTTTTTTTTCATTTTCTTAGATTCCCCTGCCAGAGAGGCAGGGCATATCCCGTGATCTACTGAACAGCCCTCCTTTGTTTTTTTTTTTCCTTATTTTACTTTTGGATTCTGACAGAAACGCCACGGGGCTGATACACCCAAACTGCGACGTGCTCACATTAGCACTCAGGAGAATGCATCCAACTGCATTCACATCCACAGAGTTTTTTTTTTTTTTTTTTTTTTTTGCTGTTTTTKTTGCAATCAGACTCACTTTAACTTTCCACTTCGCACTCATGCAAACAGATGGCGAATCACACTGGCGCACAGCTCCCACTCAAAGCTCAGAGATCTGGAAGTCGAAAACACAGTTCAGATACAAGCTCACTTCAACAGGCTATGGCGCATCAGCGTCTGTACCACCCAACTCTCGGCACTCTGTCCAACACCACTGTTCGCACTCACTCACTCTGGATTACCCTGGATATCCCCCTCACACACACACACTACTACTAACACACTCGTCTATCCACTATGGTGGCTATGGCTGATGTCCCTCACTAGCTATGGCTAACTATCCCTTCAGCCCATTTCGTCTTCGGGCACTCTGCAGACCACCTCACACAAGTCGCACAAGCAGCGCTTCCGCATGGCTTACGCAGGAATGAATGAATGGCTGGGCTCTGCCTCTTGATTTATGCTTCTGTAACTCGTTGGTCTGCCCCTTTCCCATGCCCTGGGTGCACACGGTCCCACACGGTACTTGCTTGACTGGACTGTGACTGACTGGGACCGGTACCGCTGACTGCATGGGTTTGCACTGCCAACTCGATGTTGTCGCACTGCCAACGTAACACAGTTGGGATCACCACTTGCCCACTTGCCTCTGTCCAAACGTGAGACAACTTCGAAAGGCCACTTCCGGACCTTCTAGAAGTCTGTGGGTTTGGCCTTTCGAACACTGTAGCAGCTACGACCTTGACCTTTCAGGACTGTAGCAGCTACGACCTTGACCCTTCAGAAGAGCTACAGCTACGACTTCTAGAACTCACTAAGACCTCTATCCTACAGGTCTACAGATCGAACCCCTACAACCTACGGACCTACGACAGCCTACCAACTGTTGCGAATACACAGGTCATGGGTTCAACTCTTGGGGTCGACACAGATACTGTACGCAGGTAAGGTAAGAACTAGGGATCGAACCCTGGGATCTGCATTCGCTACTGCTAACAGGTGAATACCATTTCATTGTTTTCCAACTGGTCCCCCCAGCCTCGGCCCGTCCAGCTACTGGTACTACCAGGCTTGGCAGGCTTGACATACCGGTCGCTGGAGGCTCGGACTTGATAGCTGGGCCAAGTACTGGTGGTTTAAATTATCCGGACAGCATCTGGACGTCATGATGGTTTGGGTGGACTTCTGCACATCTCTTTGTATCGTTTGTTGTCCTCTTCTCTCTCTCTGCCTACGGTTTTACGGGGCAGTTCTGTTTGTGACGATATATATGTGAGAACCTCACCAATCTCTGTGGTTTGACAGCAACTAATATCTGTCTTCACATTCTCCATCGCCTGTTTTGTACACCATCAGACTTCCTTGCAATCGCCCTTCAGCTTGATGCTGATCTTCCCCAACGACAGCCAGAGGATTGTAATTATACCAGCGAAGGAGGCTTTACCATTGCTGTCCTGCAAGTAGCAATGAGGGACCGTCAACTTGAACTATGCAATGCGCGAGCAGGTGAGTGGTTTAATCCTCCATCCCACATCTCTGCCTGCATTGTGCACGGCCCTGGCCATTACATGGCCATTGTACATGCCTCTGACCACTGGGAGCTGTGGGACAACGGCACCATGGTCCATGCCATGATTGATGTTACTGATTTCTTACAAAAAATGATGTTGTTTTTTTGCCACAACAAACCGTCCGCAATCTCTTTTATGTCGAAGATCATTCCTCTGGCCCCGTGCTGCAGCAAGACAATGCACCAACACTCTGCGGCCTTCTCCTTTGCACAACCATAAACACTGTTACACTCGGCTGTAGCCGCCATCGTCTCTGTCACAATCACTACAATGACACGGTTTCTGCATCCATGTGTGCAGAGGACTGTCCCACCGTTCCTGACTGCAGGCACCCTCCGCATCTGGACACTATTTGTCCATTTTGCGGCCATGGGCGCTATACTGAATGCATGTTCTTTTGTGGTGACCGTTCTTCTTTCATTTTGGCCTGCAATCGACATGCCATTTGTCGGGGGTGTATGGCGGGCATGCTGAATGCCACCGGTCGTGGCAATTGTTGCACTGAGAATGCTCAGCTAGGTCTTCCATGTGTTCATCCACATCATCCTTACAATGTATGTCCTCTCTGTCGTCAAGGACATACTCATTCTTGAACCTTTTCTTATCCTCTTTGCCTTCATCTTCACTCCACACTCCATACTTTGCCTTACTTCCCCTTTATCGTTCTTTGTTTGTCTGCTCTCCATCTCTCCTCGCTGTGTTTATCCCCTCCCCCTTCACTCTGCCTCTTTCTCACAGCGTACAAGTGGGCTGTTATGGCACACAGGGATGGGGGCAGCTCGCGCTCAACTTCATCAACGTGGCGAGCCTTGTGCACGTGAGAGGCACGGTGAAAGAGGAGTCAAAAGAAAAATGAGTAAAATGAATGGTTTCACTGTGCCCTTCATGTTTTTTTTTTTTTTTTTGCCGTTTGTTTCACAAATTGCGCTCTTTTAGTTCATAGTTATGTGACGATATATACAGCCCCTCGTTTGTTGTCCTCTTCTCTCTCTCTGCCTACGGTTTACCGGGCAGTTCTGTTTGTGACAATATATATAAAGAGCTGCCGGGTGAACTTCGGGCAGAGAGGGAGAAAAGGTAAGCAAATGAGGGGTTGTGACAGGCTGTTTCGTTGGAGTTTTGCCGGCTAATCAGGACACTGAACCCTCATACATCAGCCTCCTGGGGCGACGTCCAACCAGCGTGCAGGATTGGATTGAATGCCCGAATCCGTACATGTTTGTTGAGGTGCAGAACACGGGATTGATCTGCTTTTCTGCATCTCTGCACAAAACACATCCACATTCAGGCATTTAATCCAGTCCTCTTTGCTAGTGAGACCTCGCCCCTGATGAGTCAGTCCAACTCTGACGAAACAGTATGTGGCAGCCCCTCATTTGCTGTCCTCTTTTCCCTCCTTTCCTAGGGTTCACAGGGCAATTTTCTATGAGCTAAAATAAGAAATGATCAGAAGGACAGTTTCAGTGTGCTCTTCATGTTTGTCTTCTGTACTTTTATCGTTTGTTTCGCAACATGCACTCTTTCAGTTGATGGATATGTCACAATATATTTACATATAATGGTAAAGTTACAGAGCCAGAAGGTACTTGCTTTTTCACTTTTTTTAGTGGGAAAAAAAACGGAAGCAGAGAGTTACTGCCATGCTCATCTGGCATCTAACCAATCAGGCCCCATCACAGATTGACCCTTTGCGTTTCGCAGGTGAATTTACAACATGGGGATACTGTATAGCTGT